CCCCGCCACTGAGCTCCGACTCTCGTGTTCTGCTCAACCGCGGACTCCCATAAGGGCCACGTTAGGATGTCGTTTCCAACGCGTGCGACGAATCGTACTGTCGGATAGCTCAAGCCTCAACCGTTCTCGCTGTCTCGATTCAAGCGTGTCACATGGCAGTTAAAAGAGAGTGAACTCTGAGAAACATCGACTTGGTTTTTTTTCCCCTTCCGTTTTCAGAATATATATATATTTTAAAAAGAACAGTGTTCATCAATGTTAGCTCTGTTTGTGGGATTCTCGATGGCGGCCGCCATGGCCTTTCTCCATCCCCAGGAGCTTCTTAGTAACGGCCTCAAATGGTTACATCTCATGCCCCCCCACGCCCCCCCAACCAACAACTCGTGTATTGGTGCTTGAAAGATAGGACTTTAGCTGCCCCTTTTCTCTTTTGCTGGCGTAGTTATTCTTTGTAGCAGAGCTTTTGAGGCTTTGGGATTGATTCTGGTGCGGATGGGTGATTTTTGGAAATGGGTTTCTTTTGTTCTATAGGATGCTTCAATGAACTTGGTTTCATCACATTATATGAATGAATTATATGCATGTGAGGGTTTCTTTAGTCCTTGATTGATTTGGGTCTTCTTGTGATTGGAGGGAGGTGAATCATGAAATGGGTTATGGTAGATTGGGGTTGTGATTTGATTATAATTTAGTAAAGGTACGGTCTTTGTATCAGGATGATTTTTTTTTTAATTTGCCCCTCGGTTGACTAATATTGTGTTTAATTGTAGGGTCAAGTAAGTTGTACGGTTGATTTGAAGCACTTGGTGTAATTATCTTCCACCGTGACTTGGTCATACTCTCATTAATGTTGCTACCTTCTCTGCTTGCACTTTATTGCTGTAGTTGAAGATATATTATCAATATATAGGGGGAAAAAGCTGTTTAAGTGTTTGCACATTTTTAGGTGAAAGCCTCTGGAATTTTGGACACAATATTGATGGCACAGTAGAGAAATTTCATTTGAAGGAAGAACACACCGATCTTAGATTTCTGGCAAATGATATACCTCAAGCTTGCTTGCTAGTAAATTGAAATCCTTTTAGTCAACCGTAATAGCAGTCAACTATGTTTCATGTTTTAATGTGCTCAGATAATTAGTCTGAGCAAAGAACTGTTTGTATGACTTTGGCTTGATTTGATGCAATGAAGTTAAAAAGTATTGGTTTAAATGAAGGGTTTTTATATGGAAACCATCTTTAAAATAAGGGTATAATGAATGAACCACCTTTATTGTTTAGTTTATATAGGAATCACCTTTAAAGTATATTTCGTTCCAATTAACCACCAAAACCCATGTCATGTTAACTTTTTTGTCAAAATTCCTATAATACCCCTCTTTTCACATACTCCCTCTCCTCTCCCCCCCCTCTCTCTCTCTAGGGTCCACAGATCTCGACGGGTGGCGCGGGTGGGGGTGTCGTGGGGGGGGCAGAGAGAGAGAGAGAGTAAAAAGAGGGGTATTAAACTAATTTTGATAAAAAAGTCAATTGGTAATGGATTTTGGTCATTTGATTGAAACGAAATATGTTTTAAAGGTGGTTCATGTATAAATTAAAACAATAAAGATGTTTCCTGTATTACACCACTAATTTAAAGGTGGTTTCCATATAAAACCCTTAAATGAAAGTTAAATCAAACAGTTGGAATTCTGTCTTGTACAAAACTCTGTTTGTAAACTGATATCCAATATCCTTTTTCTACCCGAGACCTGTCTTTTTAATATTAGTAGCAAACCCTCTCATCCTCACAGTTTGCTTGCAAGAAATCCATTATCAATTTAGAGGATCAAATATCAGGTGGCAGCCACATGCAACTTGCTATAAAATTTTTGAAATGTTTGCTCCATAGATGACCCATTATCATTTTAGTTCGAAAAGGGTTATAAGCTGGCCGATGATGGCATGAAATCTTTGAGACCTGCGTTTGAAGTAAAGGAGGGGGAAAAAACAAAAAACAAAAACGGTTATAAGCTGGCGATTCACAATCCTACGATCATATGACTTTTAACTTCTTCATTTCAAACTTCAATCTCATGCTTTAGTTAGAGTATCTAATGGTGCATCCTAAGCAATGTATTGGTGCACGATCGAGCTGCCTAAGTAACCCTGCAACAGAATTGTACAACAGTACGGCCTTATTTACAACCCAATCACCGTTATATGAATTCTTATTATACGCATTGTTTTCTGTGATAATCGAATTAATTTAAGTAAAAGATAAAGCAAGCCAGTTACATTAATAACTTCACATGTTTTTTCTCAATCAGAGAGAGTCCATTTTTTGCCTTTTTTCTTTACATTTCTTTGATTATATGTTAACTTATTTTTTCTAGCAAACATCTCAGCACTAGCAGTCTTTCCTCTATTTGGTTCTAATGAATCACTATTTCACTTTCTGTTTTCACTTGCAGATTGTCCACTGGATTTGAGTTGGCCTAATTTTACTTTAGCAGCTTCTTCCTGTTCAACTCGAAGTGGAAGAGCAAAATGTTGTCGCTATATGAATGCTTTTGTCACAGTTTCTCTTGCTCGGTATGCAAAGACAACAGGAAATCTAGGAGTTCCAGCATCATTAACTGATATTTGCCTCAATCATGTATCTGAAAACTTAAATTCGTATGGAATTCCACCCAATGCCACTATATTTTGTGGGTTAGGAGAAAAAATTCATGTTTCAAATCAGTGCCAGGGTAGATCAACTGTCTTAGAAATGCTACAGTCACCTAATTTCGATGATGTTATTAGAAACTGCAAGATGCCACTTTCAAATGAAAATAGTTGCAGGAGGTGCTTAAACTCTGATATTCTTTACCTTCGCCATCTTATTGGAGTACAAGATAATGTCACGTTAAGTACTTGTCGTGATGCAGCTTTCGTTGCGCTTTCAACTCAAGGAGACAACTTTTCACCTATTGATTTCGCAGGTTGCTTCTTTAGTGTCAAGGAGCTTGCCATTCATCCAGGTTTGACCATTGCAAACTTGATATATCATTGGTTTAAAGTTCCATTCTAGATAGTATCTATTAATTAGTTTAACTGTGTATTTTTATGTGTTTATCTGTGAATTTATTATCTGATGTTGTGTACATGTATTCATTTATTTTTTGGATATTGGTAGGGTATTATTGCTTCCTTTAATTGTTTTTGCCACTGTAATGATGATGGGATATCTATGGATCATATATTTATCCAAATGCATATATGAGTAGCGTGCTAATTAGTGAAAATGAGCTTCAAGGGTGTGCTTTTCGAATGTCTGATCTATATTTCCTGCTGTTTTGATGTTACTAGTAAGCAGACAGATCAAAGGATGATTATACTGTTAGCAATCTTCCATGTATGAAACTTACATGATTCAGTTGTGCTAAATACAGGTTGTTAATGAATCTTATTAAGCCTGGAATTAAAGATTCCACTCTTAGTACATCTTGTATTAGCAAAAAAGTGGAATAATACTGCAGATCAATGAAAGAAAGGAAAGGAAAACAGAGAGACAACAACTGTAGAAACACAATTTTAATTAGCTTCACCAATCAACGTGAGATTACCTACATCCGTGGTGTATAACCAAGTCACGATTCCACATTAGTCAACAAAGCTTAGAGTCAATCTCTCAAATGCTAATCTCACTCCCTTTGCCGTCTTTATTTTCGTCTCTTTTGAATACAACTGGGGTGCAATTCTGTAGGCATTAAATTCTGGGGTGCTATGTATCCTCCATGTGAATCCACAAAACTATTTCTTGGGACCCTATCTGTTGAATACAAAACTATCTTTTAGATATGAAAAATACCTTACCTCCTCACATTTGTCTATTTGCATATCTACTCAACCGACAAACACTAATGGTCATCCTGCATTACATTGTTTGTGTGAATCCAATTTGTTTGTTTCTTCAGTAGACGTGTAACTGAGAAGTAAAGCTTCTATTTAAGTAGATATAAATGTTTTTTTATCATCTAAAAAAAATACACATATCTTTATCATACAAGAACTAATAATCAATTTGACCATAATGTTCAAAGTTTTTGCACAGGTAAATTATCTACCATGGATTCTTTTTCCAAAAAATAAAAATAAAGAATTTAATATGTGTTATAATCTTTCATTTCTGTTAACAATTTTTGTGCATTCTAATTAGAGTTGCAATTCAGTGAATGATTCAGAACCACCTTCTCAGCCACTCGGACCTGAAGCTTCTCCAAGTCCGGTGTCCTCCAAAGCTCCTGCAGAGCACCTAATTGCACATTCACCTCTCAAGAAACATCGCCACAAACATTGGTTTAAATTGATTACATCCATTGGCATTATGGTCATTGGCTCGGCAATTCTATTGTTGGTAATCTTGATTCTACTTATTCGAAAGAAAAGTAGAGAGCTCACGAGTGAAGGCGCTCCTATTGAGATATCATCTGTTGCTTCCCCGTATAGAAAAATTCGAAAGAATCAAAGAGGTCAGCCTCTTTTATTCGTTTTTTTTCTTTTCATATTCTCATATCAAATATCCATGAGTACATTCTTCAAACTGAATCCTTTATAGTAATATTGTCAAGTGAACTTGATGATTTTACAAAAAGGAAATGAACCATTGATAAAGGACACATGTGTACCATCACATGACATTATGATTCTGACTGATCTATAATGAAAACAATAATAGATGAGTAGCAAAAAGCACCAATATCAGTTATTAATAATCTTGTTGCTACGTATATTTCTCTAGTTTTAGCAAGGACTAGCTATAACTGAACTGTAATTTGTCTTGATCATCACCAAATTAGTATTTCTATTGTTGGGTTATATCTCTTTTGCTATCAACTGCACTATTAACTTTCCCTGTAGTTCAAGTTGGATCAGACCATGCTCAATTGCAGATGTCTTCTTGCAGGCCAGATAAGTGTTTTCAGAAGGTACAGTTACAGAGAGATAAAGAAGGCAACTGACAATTTTAACAACACCATTGGAAGAGGAGGATTTGCTACAGTCTATAAAGCACAATTTGATGATGGCTCGATTGCTGCTGTAAAACGGATGAAAAGATTTTCACAGCATGGGGAAAAAGAATTTTATCGGGAAATGGAGCTTATTGGCAAATTGCATCATCGCCATCTTCTTTCTCTCAGGGGTTTTTGCCTTGAGAGACATGAAAAGTAGTTCAATTTTTATCTTTTCTTGATTAGTTTTATTTTGTTTGCATGATTATCGCAAATGGAAGATTAACTTCATTTGTCTTGTTGTTTTAGGTTCCTACTATATGAATATATGGAAAATGGGAGCTTAAAGGACCATCTCCATTGTAATTTCATTTACTTATCCCTCATGATTCTAGGCTTTTCTATTGGGTTAACCATCAAAACTTACCTTTTTTACTTTTACCTATGCAGCACTTGAAAAAGCTCCATTGGCATGGCATACTAGAATCCAAATTGCCATTGATGTGGCTAATGCTCTGGTAATTTTTCTAAGATCCTTCATTTATAAATAATAGAACATAAAATAATGAGGAACCTTGTCTATTCGATTTTGTCAGTTATAGATTAAAAAAAAAAGGAAAGGTGTTATTTCTTTTTGAGCTACTAGTACAGTGCACGATCATTGCACGTGGTCATATTTGGTTTATATTCTGAATACCTAAAAATGTGAAATTTCAAGGCTCTTTTTGCATTTTTTAGGGTTTATTCTTTAAAATTAAAGGTTCAGTTTGTTTTAGCAATATCCAGTTTATTCTTTAAACTGGAAATTCAGATTATTCTTTAAATGTTGCAAGTTCTGATGTTTTAATAATTTGGGTACTTTTATGTAGAAATTCATAGCTTTTGGAAGCATTTTTGGGTTTTGTGCCAAATTGGTTGGTTCTGGGGGTTTTCCCCCAATAATTTACAAGGTTTGGAAGTCTTTTGGATTTATTTGTAAGTTCAGTGGATTTCTCTGCACAATCTGCATATTCTAGAGATCTCTTAGATACTTATGAAGATTTTGTAAGTTTATGGATTTTTTGCGAAATATGTAATTAACTTATCACAATCCCATACTTTTGGGATCAATGCTGTAGATTTTGCCACCAAATGATTGAGTTGTAGTTCATTTACTACTGGTAAAATAATATACTCTTTGATATATGATCGAGGAATAATTTTGTTAACTTCACATATCTCCAGATGCTTAATCCAAATTCCAATCATACTTGTGCAGGAGTACCTGCATTTCTATTGTGATCCTCCTCTCTGTCACAGTGACATAAAGTCCAGCAATATACTTTTGGATGGTAATTTCCTAGCAAAGGTAAATATATATGAGCTGCTAAAAGTTACCAGTATATATTTTTTCCCAAGTCCTATGAGGATCTTTATTTCCAATTGTATTTAGGTTGCTGATTTTGGTCTTGCTCATGCTTCAAGAAGTGCTGCAACCAGTTTTGAACCAGTGGAGACAATTATCCAGGTAACCCCAGGTAAGATCATCATAACCTGATAACACTAAAACCTTGGTTTAAAATTGATTTGGCCTATATGAATTTTTTATTCTTATTTTTCAAACTTCAAACTTGAAGATTAAAAGGATAACACTACATGCAGCAGTGTTTTGTAAGACGACCTTTATTAAATCATAAAATTACGGTGTACTTCGTACTTTCACATCACAAAGAATGCAGCGGTGGTCATCGAGTAAGAACTTAAATGGAAATTAACTAGTGAAGTTCAACAGAGAATAATGATGTGCAATGCCCACTGAATTTATTGAACCAGTTTAAATAGTCAGAGGCAGTTGGAGCCCTCCATCTTCAAACCAGTGCCCTCTGAGATTAAACTATTGCATTAAAATCATGGGGGGAAGATTTCTATACACGAAATGTTGGAAGATTTAATAATTAATCATAAAAAGATAATACATGGAGTTATGCATGCTTTCCATGAACAGAGAGAAATATTTTTATCCGTAGATAAATTATTTTCACAACATGCAGGTTATGTAGATCCAGAGTTTGTGGTGACTCAGGAGCTAACTGAAAAAAGCGATGTGTATAGTTACGGTGTGCTTCTTTTAGAGCTTTTCACCGGTAAACGAGTAATACACAATAACATAACTCTACTCGAATGGTCTCAAGAATTCATGGATTCGGACTCCAAACTCTCTGAATTGATTGATCCAAGGATATCCAACTCCTTCAACATAGAACAGTTCCAAGTTATAGTCAGAATAATTCAGTGGTGTACCGAGAGAGAAGGAACAATGAGACCAACAACTACACAAGTTATTAGATTGCTTTATGAGAGATTGGACCCTTTACACAGTGCCTTTTTGCAAGCAATGGAAGATGAAGGAGACTGTGGTGTTCAAAGGGAATCAAACCGAGATGAGCAGATTATTGCTTTCAGTGGGGATCCGAGATACCTGTCATCTTCAGGCACTTCGAGATCTTATTGTAGTCGTAGCGTTTTGTTAGAGAGTAGTCCACATTCCCCTAATGGTGTTTTCTCTACTTGAGATTTTTATGTGCAAATTTTTGTATTGGTTTGCATTTTTGTTCATGATTTTGATGCTTATTCTTTGTTGTTTGTGATGAGGAATTGTTGATTCTGCTCCCTGCCTTTGAGAGAAGTTCTATGTACATTTTACTCAGATGCGTATTTATTTTCTTTTGATCTTGTATTAAATCTAACCGATATTTTGATCAGTGAAGAATTTACGGCTCATGCCCAACTTGCTGACTGTTGTCTCTTGGGTTTGTACTATCACCCCCCTGGCTTAAAAAGGCCAATGAAAATTTAAACAACAAAGATTAGGGCTCGTGCCCAACTTACTGATTCTTGGCTCTTGGGTTTGTATTTCTTTTCCCCCTTAACTTCAGAAGGCCAGATTTTGTACACCTTTCAAATGATTGTATCATCAGTTTAAGCTCATCTCAAACACATTATTTTGAACCCTGCCATTATAAATAGCCTGCTATTTGAGTGATAAGCAGTTAAATATCAGAGGCCTCCGTGTGTTATACTCCACAAAAAGCACAAGCATTTCAGAAGCAAAGGATTCACCGGCAGTGAATTTGCTTATTCTTTAGACCCATTTATTATTACCAATTTACATTACAGAGCAAGTAAATTTGTTACATATGCATCTCTTTTAACATCTGCGACCAGGCTATACTAGGTAAAATTCTGCTCTTATTTGCATATGTTTTTCTTGTTGATATCATGGACAACCACCAAACAAGCATAGACTTTGTTTGCAAGTTGATATCCTCAGGTACAAACTAGTTGAGCCCTTTGAAAAGCCTGCTACAGAAAACAACACCACTCGATTAAAAAAAAAAAGATTTTGCTCCAAAAACAGGACTGTTTCAATGAAAATAAACTTTAAATCTACTGCAATTTTTGCTTTTAGTATTTATGGACAATGTAATGAGCCGACTATGAGGATAATACGCAAGACTCATGCTAAAACACGCACAAGGTTCAGTAAGTAACAACAATAGTTAAAACCACTTACATATGTTGGAGAAATGCCAAAAAGTAGAGGGGGAAAATGAAACAATGCGAGCTATAAAGGACGCACAAACATAGACATAGTACCACTGTACAAAGGAAAGATTTCCTAAAATTATTTTTCCTTGTTTGTTTTCACATGAAAAGCAGGGGCATTGACTTCACCTGAGCATTTCTATTGTTTAATAACAAGGAAATCTCAACAATAATAAAAAAAACTTCCATACCATTCTATTGTTTGGTAACAAAGAAACCACCTTTGAAAATGAGGATTTCTTTATCTTGGTTTCACAGAAATAGACTCCCACACATGCAGTGGTAGATCCCAAAAAAATTTCTTGGAGGGCAAACGGCAAGTATCTACTTAATACTACTGAAAGCGAAGAGGCCAGGGACCGCTTCCACTTTCAAAACCGCTTAAGTGGCATTTTTTACCACTTTTTTCAACATTGACACAAACATAGCTTAAATCAGTTTATCTTTTTTACAATTTCCATCACTTTAGAAAGTAGGGCTAGTAATTTTGCGCCTCACCAAACAGTAAAAAAGGAAACTATTTAAGGAAATTAATTTCTTGGCTGCCATAGGAATCCCCATTTCTAGGAAATAACCTCCAACTAAACTACCCCTAAAAACCAATCATTTTATTGGCTTCATCATATCAAATACATCCTCGTTAATTTCATACTCAGAAATGGTAAATCACCATCTGAATGGATAAAAGAACAAAGATACATGCTACCAACTAAAAACCAAGTTTACCTATAAATCATAATCTAAATCATGTCAAGAGGTCAAGATGTCACTCTATTATCATAGCGAGCAAAGTGTGAATAATTATAAATATAGTACAGATATGTTCAATAAATTTCTACAGAGCAACACGGGAAATAGTTTTTCCTTTTATACATCTCCCTCCCTCCCCTACTTGTCTTACCCCTTCTCAATAGGTCAATGCTTGAGAACCATTTCAGTTGCACAACACTCAATAGATCCTCTCAATTGCAAATATCAGCCTTGTGCTTATAGTGTTAAGGTAAAAGACATGGTATAGAGTGTATAGACTGCTAGTTGTCTAATTTAAGGTTAGTTGCAAATAGGTCCCTTGTATCATGTTGTGCCATTTATTACCCCTTATGTTTGTCTGAGAGAGGGCGGGAGAGAGATATGGGAGAAAGAGAAAATTGTTTATTTGACAGAAAAACTTCCTAAGGGTAAAAGAGGCAAAATCAATTTCACTCCGGGAGTGTTTCTGCCTATATCAAATTTAGTGGCACAGAGTGATAATATTGGGTCTTGTGCAAGTAATCCTTTTACTTATACTAAAAAATGAGTAGAACTAACACTGGCAGTATGTTTCTCCTTAGAGGTTGTTGGTTATTTCATAGAAATGGGGTAAAATTCCACCTAAGGAATTAATTTCAATAAACAGTTTCCCTTTTTTGTTGTTTGGTGGGATGTAAATTGTTACTTAAAATAGGAAACAAGTTGTAGCTATTCTGTGTTGAAATCAGTAAGAAGAGGCATTTGTCTCAATTAAAAATTCAACAATCACGTCCGAAAGTATTTCTGAGATATAACAATGAAGAATGCCCCAATTTCAAAGGTGGTTTCTTCGCTACCAAACAATAGATAGGTATTGAAATTGTTCTTTTATTATTGAGAATTTCCTATTACCAATTACCAAACAAAAGAAATGCTCAGGTCATGTCAATTCTCCATGTTTTTGTTATGAAAACAAACATGGAAAGACAGTATATAGAAAATTTGTGAAACATAAAGAAATTGATTTCCTTTTGTTAATAAAACAACCAAACAGCCCCTTAAGTGAAACCATCTTTACAGGGAACGCGTTATCTAGCAGGTCATGGTAAAAAAATTTGGATACGCAATTTGCCACTTAGCTATTTTGGATTCGAGGGGTACGTGGTACACTGTAAAGTTTTTTGGATGCAATTACCAATTTTTTAAAGTGTATAATAGAAACTAAAAACTAGAAACTAGAAAGCTAATTATGCATTTCATTATTTTCCATACAGAATATTTCAATGCCTCACATTAAAATTTTTTGAACACGCTAGACAAAATATATATTCTCTGAACACCTTAATAATTTTTCCCTTCACATCAGTGCATCTTTCAGCAAATTTTGAGTCCAAGTCCTCCAAATTATCATTATTAGGATCAATATCTCATCCTTTATAAAGACTTAATATTTCTCACAAAATCGAGACAAGAGGCAATGGTTGAATACTAGATCATAAATATTATTCCTTCATGCTTGCTTGTCTATTATGTGTGTAGTGCACCCTTAATAATTTTTTCCCACCTATCTAACTTCTTTCCCTTAGCATCAGTGCATCTTCAGCTAATTTTGAGTCCAAATAGATCCATCTAAGCTCCACCAATTTACTTGAAGAAGCCTCCAAATTATCATTATTAGGATCAATATCCCATCCTTTATAAGGACTTTGTAATTCTCACAAAATCGAGACAAGAGGCGAATATTTGATTAGATGAATACTAAATCATAAATATTGCTCCTTCATGCTTGTTCGTCTATTATGTGTGTGGTGTGCATCTTGCTTCACTCAGGCGCACGCATCACATTGCGCCTAGCACATGTGAGCGTAAAAGAACTTTGCGCCCACATACTTGTGAGCGGTACACCAATTTTGGGAACCAATTCGCGTACCAAAGGAATTAGTCCGCGAATTGATTCACAAGAACTGTATGATGGTTTGAGGGTCTCGAGCATTGCGGAACTATGAGTGAAACATCCCTTCATTCATAGATCATCAACCGCAGAGCTAATTGCTTAGGAAGTTTCAATGGCAAGGATATTGTCTGAGAGCATGAGATGGACTTTTTTATATTAGCATGTGATTGTATAATTCACTCTGCAAACAAGTAGGAAGATAATTACAATGCTCAATGCATTCAAAAGCCAAGGCTTCTGAAACTTGACTACTTAGTGGAGATCCAAGTTCCTTTAAATTTTAGCTATGTTGCATGGAAAATGGGGACACACGGCAAATTTGTAATAGATAAAGTACGAGGACACGGTAAATTTTTTCTCATTCGTGTGTTATGAGAATTAGATTTCCTATAATATTTTACGTTTCTTTTATTATGTAGATTATAAATTGGAAAACTACTTGTTTGTGAAGTATACATCAAAACAACTCATTAAAATCATAGTTCCGAACCTGACCTATGTCCAATTAGATTCAAGAAATGGATGTGAAGTGCAGGACATACGTCCAAGAGTTATATGACAAGTGCTTTAAATTACAACATGTATTGTTTAATTGCGTACATGCCCAAACAAATGTATCATATATGCAAGAAGTGACCAAAGAATTTCGGTATGGGTACTATCATGTATCGGTTACGGATATGGCTTCAGTTAAAGTACCTGGTAACATAGAAATTTAGATATCTATGAAGTAATAAACTAGAGATTGGGGACAGATTTCAAGAGCAGGGACTCCACTGTAAAACATTGGATTTTATTTACGGTATTGAGCTTTATAAAAGTCAAAAGACTTGACCTACATGTCATACAATGGAGCACCCACCCAGGAAACCACTTCAGAAACCCCTTTTTCACTCCTTGGATTACAATTTTACAGATGTCTCTCGACGCAGGAGCAGAAGCTTGGATATCTTCTAGAAAAGCAAGCTCCAAAAACTTTAGTTGGCAATAAGAAAGCAAATAAGCTCTTTTAGATGCCATAATAATATGCCTAGTTCATCTTTGAATTGCAGAGTTGTGCTTCGGTGCAACATGCATCCTTAATATAGAAGTCATTGTTAAAATGAATGACAGTCACATCAAAATAATGTTCATTTGATTGCTTCTCGTGAGGTTTTCGCAAAGTGTCCACAAGTGTCACAGTATTGCACACGTCAAAACAACATAAGATTTAAAGTTTCAAAGTAATACTAGTAAACGACCAATTTAACCGCTTTCTATTAAGCATCTAAAATTCTACTAGGTTTGGCATGAATTTAGCAGGATTAAACGTATTTACTATCATAGCTATTGTACACAAAATTAGTCAAAAAAAAAAAAAAAAAATCAACGGTCAGTTGCAGACATACAGCTACACTTAAATATGGTCATCACATAAACTTGAAAACAATCATATCAAATGGTACTGGATGGTGGAATATGTTAGGCAACTGGCTTGGCAAATCTAATTAATGATGGATTGAGATTATGAATAAAAAATGAACATTAAGTCCTTATTTTGCAATATGCTCTAACATGATAATTAGCAGCAACCTACAAAACTTTACCTTAGGCGAATGATGTTGAGGATTCCCATGGATTACTTAGAATACACTAAATGGATTAAAATTCAGAATCGGATAGAATAAGCAGTATCAGAATACAACTAAATACAAGAATATAGATAAGTACCTTCCAGCTCTTAGATCTATTAACACCTTCACTTTTAATCTCATTCTTCAGCAGCATCATTAAGTTTAGCTTCCTCCTCTAGATGCCGCTGTCAGTATAAATAAACATATTATCAAGATGACGTGTGCCATTAATAACTGAATAATTGACTAAAATAACACAAACCCGTAAATATGACTTCACTAGAGGCTCAACAACAGCAAGATGATCCAAGGCAGCAGCATGCTCAAGCTTCACTTCTAACAGCTTTAATTCAATGCTTTTCCTAATCAACTTTGCATCACATTTAGCTACCTGCAAAAATCATGAAATCTAAACAATCATGAAAACCCGCATCTAAAGATAAAGAAAAAGGGTAATTTACTGATGCATCAAATACTATCGAGATGTAGCTAGGGTAAGTACACTTATGCTCGATTTTATTAACACACACACTCCTGTCCCCATGATCACTTCATTTTCCCATAATTTTATGATAATCTCGTGAGATTGTCATGTAGCAGAGTAGCAAATCTTATAGATAATATTATCTAAGATCTCAGAATAGATTGTTTTGAATAAATTAGGAAAACTATATTTTCTTCCTTAGATTAGATTATTTGATAATATTTTCAAATATTATCCAATCTCTTAGAATGGATTACTATGAATAACTTAGGAGAGATTTTATCTCTTTTCTTTGTTTAGATTTTTTTTCTTAAGAAAAAGTTTGGATTTCTTTTTCTTAAGAAAAAGTTTGGATTTCTTTTTCATCAAGGAACGTGTATGCTTCAGCAGAACTGGTGTAGTAGAGAGCACTTCCTTGATCAAAACAAAACTATCAAGTCAGAGGAATACATCCTGATTTCCTCTGAATAAGAATCCCTCTTGAATATGACACTCATCAGATACTTGTGTTGCTTGCTAGTTGGGCCAAATATCTCGGAAGTCTTCATCCTCCTCGTACAACTCCTTAAGGAACTCAAAATCAGTCACTTAGGATGCAAAGTTAGTAATAAATCAGCTCGCCTAATCAATGCATCAGCACTTTGTATTATTCCCCGTCTTGCGCTTCAAGTTGGAGGTGAAATGCTGTAAGAACTCAATCCATCGGGCATGCATACCATTAATATTCCGCTGTCTACCGATGAACTTGAAAGCTTGGTTGTCCGTGGGAAGAATGAACACTCTTTGTACGAGATAGTGCTCTCATTGCTTCAAAGCTTGAATAATGAAGTAAAAGTCTAACACATATGTAGATTGTGGACCACTTTTTCTGAGCATCACTGAGCTTCTCACTTCAAAAAGCTATTGGCGACCCTCCTGTATCAACATTACGCCAACTCCAATAATGTTAGCATCACAATCGACCTTAAACAATTTGTCCAAATTTGGCAACACTAGAACTGGTGCAATAAAAAGCTTTTCCTTGATCAAGACAAAACTTGCTCGAGCTTCTTCCCCAATTGAATTTTCCTTTTTTTCATACACTCAGTGATTGGTGCCATGATGTTGCAGAAGTTCCGGATGAATTGACAATATAAGGTTGCTAGACAAAGAAGGCTCCTCGCTTCGGATGCGGTTTTAGGTGTCAGCCACTCTTATGTGGCTTTGCCTTTCTCTCCATCCATGGATATACCATCAACACTCACCACAAAGCCAAGGAAGACGAGACTGCTTGGTGAGAAAGTTGCACTTTTTAAGATTTACATACAATTTGTTTGCTTGCAGCACTGTAAGTACCTCTTTCAAGTGTACAAAATGCTCCTCCCAGCTTCTACTATAGATAAGAATGTCATCGACATATACAACTTCGAAGATTCTCTTGTTGACGTTCTCGATCCTCACCATTACAATCCTCCATTATTGCCAAGAGTTGGGTCATTTGCTTTGACATGATGTTGAACTTATGTTGTAGATGAATCCAGTACGGAGGACAGGGTTGTTGCCAGTCAGCGTGAATCAGGAACTTGTACTTCGATGCCACTTAATGTAGCGGAAGTAGGAACTGATAATTCGACATCGCCGAAACATTCGTCGATGGGTTTGCCTGAGTCCACAAGCGAAGATAATTCCGAATCCGTGTTCAGATTCATGAACGCTGGAATCCACTAGTTGAAAGAGAGGATTCTCTAGGTTCTAATTATAATTTTCATTGAATAAAACGAGTACAATGGATACCTTTAAATAGGCATACATGTTCCTTGATGAAAAAGAAATCCTAAGGAAAAGAAATATAAACTAAGAAAAGAGATATAATCTCTCCCAATTTATCTATAGTAATCCATTCAAAAGGATTTGATAACATTTAAAAATAGTCAAATAATCTTATATAAGAAAGTAAATATAATCTTTCTAATTTATCTAAAGCAATCTATTCTGAGATATCGGATAATATTATCTAAGACCTGCTACTTTGCTGCATCAATATGTTTTTGACAAATGTCTAAGTTCTGACTATTATGTGATTTCTAAGGGAGTTAAAAAACTAACACGGGCTTATGAGGCATACTAATAAAATAAGACAAATAGCAATAAATAGCCATGAACAAATAACTTAAAGAAAAACATATATACTTCAAAATCCGAATCCCAATTCAGCATCTTAAATGCTTCAACCGTGCTAGTATCTTCTTTCATCGCCACCTTCACCAAATTCCTCATCTTTGATGCCTTCATGGACGCTACCTCCTTATGAACATTAGCTGCAACATGCCTCAGCACATCATTATCATTTCCGCTTCTTTCAGCAAGATCTCCTCTTATCTTCCTCATGACCGCCTCTTGATTCTGCCCCGTCCTCGCCACCAAATCAAGAAAAACCTTCTCTAATATCACCACTGCATTCTTGTACCTCAGCAAGCTATGCTTCTTGATGCATATTGTCTCCAATATCTCCAACTCCTTCTCAATCTTCTCAATAATCTCGTCCCCTCGGTTTCTCTTCTCCCTCTTCAAATCATCCCATTCACAAAAGCCCGTTTCCTCCTCCTCATCATCATACAACCAAGAAAAAAGAGCCTCCGCATTCTTGACATTGAGAACGAGTTTCGACCCGTCAACAAGAATCCTCTCATCCTCACTCTCTTCGCTCTTATCAGAACAACTAGAACTGCTGCTGCATTCTGAAACTAAATCCTCTACAAAAGCAACCATCTCTCTAATCTTCAAAGGTTTATCGATTTTGTACAAGATATTGAGTTGGGTTTCCGTAAGGACATCAAAAGTCTTGAGCTTTTGGACCGCAGAGCGAATGGCTTCGGGCTGCGAGCTGTCACTGAGAAACTCGTCGACGATTCTTCTCTCGGCTTTTTTGGGCAAGAGAGAGAACAACTCCTTGTTAGGCCTCAAATGGGCTTCGAGGACGTGATGAGAGAGGAATTGAGGTTGGGTGAACGTCAGAGAGCAACGAGGGCAGGCCCAAATTGTCCACGATTGGGATTGGGATCGGAGGTTGACGGCGAGGTTTAGGGTTTTGGATTCTGGGACCTGGGATTCGTAATGGGTTTTGAGGGTTGAGAGGTTGATTGTGAGGAGGGAGTTGAGGTCTGAAGGGGGTTTTGATTGTAGGAGTTCTTTGATTTGGGTTTTTTTGTTGTTGGCTTCTCTGCAGTTTTCGTGGGTCGCCATAGGAGCAAGAATCAAAACCCTCTGTCCTTTCGGAAATTTCCGGTGTCTGCTCCGTCTGAGGCGGGAGAGAAATTTGAGGGGGTAGGAGAGGACGGGGATTTGATCGGCATCAAAGTAGATCAAAGTAGGGTTTAGGCAAAGTTAAACTAGGGTTTTATGGTGTGTTTGGGGCTTGTTTGGATTGAGGGGAATGAGGGTGAAGGGAAGTTAGGGGCACCATTCACCTTCATTCACCTTGTTTGGGAATACTTAGGAGGTGAAGTTAATTCACCCTATTCCCCTTGATTCACCCCCTAATAGTATAAAAATTGTTACCCCTCAAATTGGGGTGTAACCAAGGGGAAGGGAACTCCTAAAAATTGTTACCCCTCAAATTGGGGTGTAACCAAGGGGAAGGGAACTCCCTTCCCTTCCCTTCCCTTCCCTTCACTCAGTTTCCCAACCAAGGGGAAGGGAACTCCCTTCCCTTCCCTTCCCTTCCCTTCACTCAGTTTCCCTTAACTTCCCTTTACCCCCTACAAATCCAAACAGGCCCTAAGGGAAGGGAAGGAAAGGTAAACAATGGGAAGGGAAGAGAAGAGAAGGGAAGAGAATTGTAATATGTTGTTTGGGAGTTGAGTAAGGTGAATGAAGGTGAAAGGAAGTAAATATATGTAAATTTACATAAATGACTTTATACTAATAACACATCAGGCCTTTTATTTGTTTTGATGGGGGTAAGAATATCATTACACCCCTTTACCCTCCTCTACCGCCCAAATCGGGGGGGGGGGGGGGGGAGCAATTTTACCCTCCTTTCCCCTTCCTTCCTCCTCTCTACCCTCCTTAAAAAAACTCCCAAACAAGGTGAAAGCCTCATTTCTCTTCCCCTCCCCCTCTCTACCCTCCATCCAAACAGGGCATTAAATAGGCTGCAGACCAGCTCAGAAGAATAATAGCAAACTGATAAGGCGCAGGAAAAAAATCGTTAAAATGGTAGTAATTAGCAACTAGTTTTTGCAACTAATAGTCTAGTTGGAGAGAGAGAGAGAGAGGTGAGAGATCGGGGAAAGTCGAAGGCGTCGAGCGAGCGATTCCATCTCTCTCCCCCGTTTTCACCTGGGCAGCGGAGAGAAAGGAGAAAAGAAAAAATAAGTATGAGTTTTTTTGCAGTGAAAATTATTTTCATTTTTATTTTTATTTTCTTTTAAACCAAATAGTAGAAACCCAATTTCTCTTCTATTTTACTTTCCTTTTTCTCCCTTTCTCTCAAACTAAACATAGCCTAACGGAAATTACCCTTTCTAATTTAGCTGGGTATTTTGGGCCTAATGGATTGGCTCTGAGGGGGGTTATTGGTTGGGACAAATTGGGGCCAAGTGGGAAAATTGTTCTAATGATACAATTTTACTCCTTTGGGATATTTTGAGTGGGGTAAAGTGGATAAAGTGGGATAATGGGATAATTTGAGCCTTTGATTTGACAATTCATATAGGATAATTGATGATGTGACACCTTATTAAAATATAATTTTATCTATTAATTACTTCTAAATTAACTTATCCAATTGATTTAGTATATTATTTAGTATATTATTATAATATAAATATTATTTTACTTTATATTAAAATATAATATATTATACTATACTTACAAATTACTATTATTAATTATTATATTATATTATATTAGCATGCTATACTATATAATAATTAATATAATATAATATTAATATATTTAATATAATATTTTAATAATATAATATTTAATATAATACATTATTTTATTTATACAAAAATATAATATGTTATACAATAATTACTAATTAACATTATATTAGTATGCTACATTATATAATAATTGATATAATATATGAATAATATATTTAATATAATACTTTAATAATATATTATTTAATTTAATATATTATAATATAGTATCATAGGATATAATGTACTAATTAATATTATATAATAATATATTACATAATATTATTAATATATGTTATTAAAATATTATATGATATTATAATAAATATAATAAATATGTTATACTAATTAATATTATATAATAATATATTACATAATATTATTAATATATGTTATTACAATATTATATAATATTATAATAAATACGTTATACTATAATTACTAATTAATATTATATAATAATATATTACATAATATTATTAATATATGTTATTATAATATTATATAATATTATATACGTTATACTATAATTACTATTATATAATATTATTAATATATGTTATTACAATATTATATAATATTATAATAAATACGTTATACTATAATTACTATTATATAATATTATTAATATATGTTATTAAATTATGTTATTAAAATATTAAAATATGTTATATTTTATATATCATGTCATATATTTATAATATAATTGCATGTATTAGTTAAGTAATACAAAAATATTTTAAAATTATCTCAATTACCTTCAAAGTGGAACAATATTGTTCCAATATGGAGGATGTGGTAAATTTTTACTATTGGAATAAAATTTTTGTATATGAGTGGAGTAATTTTATCCCAAGTGGTGTAATTGTCTCACTAGTGTTCCAAAAAACCAATAACACAAAAAGGTATTACCATTGTTCCATTGTCCCAATGAATAACACTATGAAATAGAATCCTCAAAATCATCCCATTATCCCCCAAAATATCCCAATCAATAACCCCGCCCCCCCTGAGCTTCCCTAGGATCCTAAAACTATGAATATTTTGTTGTGTCCGTTACCCACATTGATTGCAAGAGAGTTGAATTAATTAAGTTCATTTTCAATTTAAGGACTAAATTGCGCAAAAAATACAATAAAGCTCCCCGTTTTGACAATAAAATACTATAAGTTATATGTCGGTGTAGACGGTAAAAATACCTCTATAGGCTTACAGGAAATGCGCCTGCGAGAAGAGCTCGCCCGCTCGGTTCTCTGGCACGGGCCTAAATCGCATAGATATCAGATATGTTCGATTCTAGGTTCGCCTTGCGGTCGGCTCGCCAACACGAGTTAAGATCGATAGGATGGCGGAAGTTCGCCTTTCACTCAACTCGCCTGCCCGAGTCCAGAGTCGAATCCGCCAGCAAACCCCAAGACCGTCAGTCCAGCTGGGTATCCGCTACCCCACGTGCTGAGTTGGACTTCCCCATCCCTCTCGACCCGAAGGGAGAGAGCACAGTACCCCAGGACCGTCAAACGGCCGCTCGCAGTACGCACCGCACGAAAGCCTGGACAGGTGTCGAGTCAACCTGAGCATTCATAAATGCGACTCACATCGGCTGTCTGAGTCAAGAGCTGGATCCGCCGGCACTCGGCAAGTTGGCTAGACCCACTCGAGTACTGTGCACCTACTTCGCCGCCTCTCCTGACCGGAAAGGAGAAAGCACCGTGCTCAAAGCACGCCGAGCGGTCACGCACAGTACGAGTGATCGGACAGACACTTCATCGATCTGCGAACTCATAAATGCGGTTCATTAATGCTGGTCAGGTCCACTCGGATAACAGACGGCCGTTGCCTCATATTCAAGAATGGGCCTTCCCATCGTAGGTGACAGGACATAAAGCATAATCCATGGAATGACCATTCATGGTATCGAGGAGCAGCTAGACGTCTCTGAAGAAGATGTGGTCACATCCCACAATTCAAGGAGGAGTCAAGCTGTCCTTCTTCCATTTAAAAGCCCCTTCCAGCACACTGGAGGAGAGGTCGCAAAACTTGGAGCGGGATACGTCGGCTCGGCGAAAGTGGAGCGGATCCAGGTTGACCCGGGGTCCGCGCTGAGCATCGTGCCCCTGAAGCTAATCAAGCATTTGGGGATACCGTCGAAGCGCCTAGCCTCGACCTCGACTACCATCTTCGGCTTCAACGCCACTGGGACTCGGCCACTCGGCAAAATCCGCCTGAAATGTCGGATAGGCGACATGAAGACAGAGGTGACGTGCTACGTTATCGATGCTGAACCCTCCTACAACATACTCCTGGGGCGTCCGTGGATTCATGGCAACCGGATCGTTCCATCCACACTACACCAATGTTTGAAGTATGTGGACGACTACGAGCGAGTAAGAACGGTAGTGGCCGACAAACATCCCTTTAAAGGGGTCGAGAACTACTTCGCGGATTCTCTGCTGTACCAGGACCCCGACCAGCCACCAACAGAAGAACTGGAAAGTGGCAATGAAGCGGACAGCGAGCCTGAATACGGTGACAGCTTAATTCTGAACGACTTTGAGTCAATTGTAATTGGTTACGAGAGTCACCATGTAACCAACGCCGTTCAGGCAGAAAAGCTTATCATGAATGAGAAATCCGACTTTGCTTATTTGTCGACTTGCTCCTCGTCTGAGGATGACGCACCTAATAACTTATGGTCGACACTCTACAGTGAGTCTTCTCTACACTTGCCGGTATGTTCGTCATACGTCTTCAAGACGCGACTGATCGAGCCATCGCGAGCTGTATTCGTCGTGCCAGCACGGAAGAGGTATCGAAAAGACATCATCTTCGGTCGAATCGATCGTCCCCTACGCACGCTATGGGACGAATCTGAGGACGAAGACCCAGCGCCCCAGTTCTCGCAATACAGTCGAGTGGCGAAACGCATAATGAGCGACATGGGGTACGACCTCACTCGCTTGGAGGGCCTGAATTACGGCCGAGGACTTAAGACGGTCATCAAACCCGCCTACGTCCCCAAAGGGAAGCCCTCAAATTACTTCAACAGGACTAGGAGAGGCTTAGGCTACTCCTCCTCCTCATCGGAGTGTTGTTTTTACGTCGACGAAGATTCCGATTACGCATGTTCAGGGGATCAGTCGTCAACAACCTCGGCCTGGGACTCCGACGTCAGCGTAAGGGATCTGTTCGATGGCCTTACAGTCAACATGGCTACAGTAGACCCCGCCGGAATGGCAGAGGACGAACGACTTCCACTTTACGACGAGACATGGGATCGCCATGTTAGCGCCCAGTGGAACAGTCGCTTCGAACAGCGCGAACCACCAACTGAAGATGAAGTCCTCCAGGTGAACATGGGTACTGAGGCGAATCCCAAACCCATATTCATCAGTGGCAGCCTGCCTCCTCAAGAAAAAGAGGACCTCATCGCCCTCATACGGGAATACATTGACGTCTTCGCCTGGAATTACGAGG